GAAATTAAAATGGATTATCATGTGAATAATTAGATCTTGCAGAGGTCTGCTACTGAGAATTGAACATCGAAGGGTCGTCTAGTTAAAAAAATACGTCGAAAAAAAAGTTCTAAACTAGTTTTTGTTTTTTTTTCGAAAGTCGTCTTGTTTTGAAATGAGTTTATTCCATACATTTGCATCATACTGTATGTATTATAGTAGATGTCTATATAACGATATCAAGAATCTAATAAATTCCAAACTAATTCATCGCTTGAATAGTGAAGCAACTAATTAATTTTTTTGAAAATTCTCTCAAATAACTTGAACTAAGATACATTCGCATGTTATACTTATGGTCATTATTCATCATGAGCTATACCTAGTTTTCCTATTTTCGAATAGCTAAGAATATCACTGTATATTCTGTGAATCTTCCCATTTCCTCTTAGTTGTTCAGAAAATTCATTGATTTATTGATTTTTTGATTGACTCGGCCGTTACTTGATGGAAATCCCGAGGGAAATCCAGAATAAATGTAAAAAACTTTACAAACATTTTGTGAGGTTAAGAATTTTGTGAAAATCTTATCGTTCGTGAAGTTTTTTAGCTTCATTGATTGACTGATTGATTGAAGAATTTTGAAACGAATCATAGTTGTTTATGAAATAATTATTGTTCACACCATATTGCTATTTAATATCACCAATAATTACCGATAATAATTGTACCTCAAATTATCCAAGCAATTGAAGCATTCACTAAAATGCTCGACCAAGCGTTGATAAAAAACTTGATGCTTTCTTCCTGTCCATTGGTCTCGACAGTGATTCGAAACGATCATGTTTTCTCATGTGTAAAAGTGTGTGACTAATTTTTTCTACCTCCCACGAGCTTCACGACAACGCTTTGTATATTTTTAAGGTAATACACGTCTCGAACACGACGAGCAGAATTTTAAAATGGTCCGAATGCAAATTATCAACGTTTTAATTTTACCTTGGATACGTTTTTAGACTGTGATTCAACGATGGGCAATAATCGATTAGATTAATGAAATACAAGGTGTTTCCTAACTATACGGTACGAAATTCCAGGGGGTGATTCGTTAGGTCATTTCAAGAAAAAAAGTTCCTATGAACATACTTATGTCCAAGGGCGTCGCCAGCGGAAAAAATAAGGAGGGGCACCATAAAAAAACTGAAGAGAAAAATCAAATAGAAAGAGTTTAATGAGAAAATCAAAAAACAGAAAAAAATCTATACAGTAAATCAGTTGAAAAATAATCTTCTAGGGTTCTTTGGGAATTCGTTGGTCTCTTTTTGACGAAATCGTTCAAGTTTTTGAAAATATGTTGCCTGTGTATACTCATCATTGCGAGGCCATTGAGTCGAGCATCATACATGGTGCTCCTCAACCAGGTTTTGATTCTCCTAAGGCTACTAAATGACCTTTCAACTGTACAAATCTTACAAGGTAAAGGCAACAAGGATCTTCAGAGCCTTCTCAACTTCAGGAGAAAAATATACTTTCGGAAGTTCTCTGCTCAAAGTGAGCGTTATCATAAGTAATATCACGATATTCTTAATATTCGAGATAATTCTGTCGCCTCATTGTTCACGAAATTGTGTTGCTGAGCAACACCACGAGTCAGGACGAAAGGTAGGGCTGTACGGCAACACAATAGATTTGACAAGGAAATGAAGAATTATGAGAATATATTCAGAACAGAGTGGAGACTATTTCACGTTCACGAAGCAAAGAAGCATTTATTTTGAATGAATGATTCATTCTGACAAGTACAGTCATTATTTTTTGCCAAATTGCCAGACTTCGCTTCGCTACCCATGGTTACATCGTTGAAAACATCTAGTTTTCGCGATAAGCACACGTTTTCTCTGGCTTGTGATTGGTCAGATTATGTGATAAATGAAATAGTCGTTTCAATGATAGCAGGGTGACTGGTGAGCGTTAATTGTAGGGGGGAGCAGCTGCTGTATTGAGAAAGGTTTGGAGAAGAGAAATAAAGGTATATAGAAAAAATACCAAATTATCACTTATCTTTGGACGTTTCGGGAAAGGATCTGCTCTCGTTTTCAACATAAAAAATGTTTTTTTTCTGTGACGGGGGAAAAAGTTTGGCATTTCATCTCTGTTGGCAGGTTATAAAATGTCACTTTTCATAAATCAGTACTTTTTTCCCGGATATATATCACACATATATATACACTGTTGATGATTTTTGTCGTGCTATAGTTTCGAAAAATGAGTCAATAATACCATCTCCGAGAAAGAACTACAAGTCCTTTTATCTTCCATTCGACTTCGCGGTTACTTATATTACTAAACAACCACTGAATTCGCAATTTTTTGAAATAAAATCACAGAATTAGACTGACAGAAGTGACATCAGATATTTGATTACTTCAAGAGAATGATAAAGATGCCTACAACGCAGGTGTCCCTACTGTTAAAAACTTAAAATTTGACGTTGATAATTTTCAGATTTCAAAATAATGTAATATCTTCTCAATATTTTGATTCGTCCTTTCTTCTGTCACAGAAAAAAATAGTGTATTATACACGGGAAGAAGATTAGATTTTAGCTCACGGTTTTTCTATATCTATACCTACTACTTTTTTCCCTTGTATAATAAACAACTATTTTATCAATATCGAAAAAACATATCGCCCATTCGTCTTAAAAAAGCTGCACACGTACCAAATTTTGACAGTTGTTGTTAACTCTTCGTTTTCTACAAAGTTCATCCAGAATGCCAGAAATAATCACCAAGAAATATATTATACCTGCTTCGAGACACTTGAAGCTAATGGTAATTCTTTTATTTCGTATTCCGTGTGCTCTGTATATCTCGAGTATATCTACTATAAATAACATCTGTAGAAGTCTTATTTCAGGAAGTGTGAAGTGTATACGGGCTAATAGCAAAGAGCTGCCAAGAAATGCCGTCTAAACTCGAAATTCTGTTTGCGCTGTTATTTACAATGTTTTCGAAATATTACAAGCAACATTTCCCAGATCGCGTGCCAAAATGTCGCCAACACAAACATGAGAGATTGTCCTGCGAAAATTTCTTCGACGAAATTGTTGAGCTTTTTTTATTGACTCAGACGTTACTGTATGCTATTAGTAGTATTAGGGATTTTCGACTTTTGACCACGGTAGAAGAAACATGGCGTGTCCAGGCCAAAAGTCAGGTTAATGTGTGTGCAAGTCCAAAATTTTCTAATTTCCTGATCTGGATTGAAATCCAATATTTAATGTGAAGTTTATAAGTGTCAGGAGGGGTGAAAGAACTCACAGTCACAACTCCACCACATAAACAATTTAATAATGACCAATGGTCATGGACATAATGACATGTTTCCTAGGATTGATCCTTCATCATCAGCAAATTTATTAAAAGAAACACTGTGAGAAGAAACAATGCTTATGTTGGTTCAAGTATTGATTGAAAATCTAAATGTACCTACCATTATTGGTGGAAAAAGATCACTCGAAAAACAAGAAAAAAACTATTTTTAACCGCGCATAGTGAAAAAAAATTTTCCAGAATGATTCTTCATTCAGATTTGGCAACAACGCTTCGTTCGGGTATATTCGGAGATGGTGGGCAAATCGAAAATTGGGCCAATCGAAATTTGGGCCGAACGCAGCCTACCCCTTCGGTAGAACTTTTTTCTTTTTAAAGTTACCTAAAGAATCACCCTGTCTCTGGAGTTTGATATCGTCAGAAAATACCCTCTGTTTTTGGATTCTGTGTGAAATTTTGGAAAAACGTCTGGACCCAGAAGGAAACTACGATGGTGTTAGCAAGACATTAACGTTTCTGAAATTCTCGATGGAATTCGTGCAATATGTAATGAATAACCTTGGCATTTGTGTGATTAAAACAAAGAGTAGTAGGTTCACAATAAATTCCGCTAATGATCATATTATTCCCCATATTACATATTCATTTACACACCCAGATTATTTATAGAATCGCAGGAATCGTTAACTCTGGGTCATAATTAATTGGATAGAATGTGACACGAAGTGATTTGAAAAATATGTGATTCGTAAATATATTTGTAATGAATAATTAATGTAATACAAATTCTTGATTAGCAGTTAATAGAAATAATGAGAAAATCCATAAATTGTTCAGTAGTAATGAAACACCCTGTATGCATGATACAGTCAAAGAATTTTTCTGAAGTGAGTTATTTTCTCGTATTCTATAGAAATTTTTGATATTGAGTGTGTCCTTTATGTCTAGACATAATAAAGACACGTTGTGATGACTGGTGATATCAGTGAATCCTCCCAGATTGTTCTTATCTCATCATATCTTCAGTCCATACAAAATAGGTATACTAGTTTATATTATTTATAAGTCTACCACTCACCACTTCCAGAACAACACTTGAAATAAGAAACACCAAGCATCATCATGAAAGCACAGGAAGGTTATTAATCTTCATTGATGAAAAATGAAACCACAACATTACTTCAGTGATTCTTTTGAGTTTGGAAACATTGTGCTGAGAAGCGTTGAAATGCCTTTGTTTTGTATTCAGAAAAAATATTTTAAATTCAGAGAAAACTTGTTTAATTCTAGAAATAATATTTGTCAGGATTTTTTTCTCAATTCATAAATCGATATTTTGTGAATTTATAATTATTTTCTGAAAATTCTAACCTCAGAAAACCATAAACATTTGAATTTCGATGAATGAGAATGATTTCGAAAAAAATATGTTGAATCCAAAATAGTTGTTCAAAACCTGAAATTTGCCTAATAATCTCTTCGTACTTATACCTACTATGTAAATTACCTACTATTTGCTCATTCTCATTAAGGTTTCAATAAGAATTCAAACTTTTCTCAAATAGTCTCACTGAAATAGAGCAGCAATTATTATAGGTGTACACATATGAACAAAAAATACTTTCAACCAGTGCAACTTATGATGATGATAAATTGCGAATCGAATTGCGAAAGTGAATAGACGCCATGTTGGACTTAGTGAAAAGGATCAGTGCAACAGGTGGACCGACTTGTACGGGTCGCGCGAACGTGAGTTTGAGAAAAAAAGAAAAAAATTACAAACGCATCAGCGTTTTGGTGCGACCCCGTAGTTTGCTGTGCAACAGAAACATCGAAGATTTGTACAGCAATAGCGCCCAAAGGCAGAGCAACACATGGAAGTTCCACAGACCGAAATCTGTCAGGTAGGAGACGAAAAAATACAGTGAAAATACACTCACCGACAAAAAACTGGCCACCAAAAAGTTTGTTCACCCTGTAACTTTTTCAATACTCGTCCGATTTTTGTGAAATTTCGATCAAATCCTAGATTCATGCTCCGGAATGTTAGCCTAAATATTAGTTTCCGTGAAAGGTTGGTGACTTGATCATTATACAGGGAAAAAAACAAAGTTACTCTTTCGCCCTTTATTTCTTAACGCCCTGTGGCAAAATTCAGTGGTTTAACTTGGCTTCATCATATTTTGGATTGAAGTGTGATCCTTTCTTGACACAATAGTCCTTGATTCACGTCATAATCTCATTTGTAAGAGAAGATACGAGTGTTTTAAGAAAGTATGGCATTTTTGGATTCTTATTAATAATAATCAGAATCAGATTAACAACTTAGGAAATTAATATCACTTATTTCTACCTAATTTTTTAGCACTTACCGGAAAAACCCTTAATTAAAATGAGCAAACAAACAGCAGACCTGTAGTCAATAACGAGTATGCCCTCCTCGAGTTTGAATTACAGCATTCAACCGCCGTGATCAAAATTATCAAGTTGTGATGAAGAATTGCAGAGAGAATTGCCTAAAATTTTCCTTGAAGGAAGAATCATAGCACTTGAAGAGTCTATGACAAGGCCGGACGAAGACGAATGAGTCTCTGGAGTTCATCCCTAAGATGCTCTATTATCTAATCACGGGCCAATTTCGGGTACACTAGACTTGAAAGAATTCCCGGAATTCCTGGGACTACCCAAGGAATTCCTGATGGGACTACCCAAGGAATTCCCGGACTTCCCAAGGAATTCTTGGACTTTCCAAAGAATTCCCAGACTTCCCAAAGGATTCCTGGGCTTCCCAAGGATTACCTCGACTTTTATATTGCCATTTTCCTTTTACGCTCCTATGTTCGATATACAGGGCAGAACGACAAAGTTTGACGCTGTTTCTCATCAATAACTCCAGTACCTACTCATTCAATGATATACTATCGCGATATATCGATTTCAACTTCAGTTGATACTTCACAAATTTGTTCATTGTACTCTTTAGTGCAAACAAATTCAGAAGTTCAGATTGATTCTTACTACTTATTTTTTCCACTTGCTTCATTTCGATTGGGTAAATCTGAGGACAAAACTGATACACTGAAAGAACGTGTATTGTGAAAAGTGATGAAGGGGAATCAATGGAAATGACATGAAATATCTCAAATATGATCGGGATTCCCTTTCGTGCGCTCCAAAAGATAAAAAAATATATAAAATCGATTTCATTTTAGTAGTTATGGAGGGTATATGTGATATTGAATGAGTTCTAATAAATTCAACACTGCGAGTAGTTTGCCAGGTTGAGATTCGATAAAATACAAGCTTCGAAAAATCGTAATTATATAATATATACTTCCCAAAAAATACTCGAACTAGAACTAGAAATTCCTGTCTTGGTTATACTGGAATTCCCACGTGATTTACCCCTTGGTTCATCTTCATTCACTATTGGTTCATCCTTATTCACTATTGGTTCCGAATTATCGTTAATAAAAATGTAAAAATCCCATACTGTCTTGAAACACTTGAATTTTCTCTTGAAAATAAGATAGAACTACTGTGTTAAGAAGGGACGAAATAGGTTCACACTTCAATTCAAAATATGATGAAGCAGAAGGTTGGAGATGGTTGGAGAATGGTTCTGAATTATTGTTAATAAAAATTTGAAAATCCATTCTCAAAACCCTTTTGTATCTTCTCTTGAAAAGTGGTTATCGACGTGAATCAAAGATCAGTCATTGATGGGGATTTTTACCTGGAAATAAGTCCGCAAGTTTCGAAACCTTGTAGGTTCATAGGTTTTGGGATGTAGAACTAAAATTCACGAAATGCACATTCCGAGACATGCCGCTGGCGCCGCCATATTTCCAAGATGGCGGCCAAAACGGTTTTTTTTGCAAATATCTCCAAAACTGTGCGTTTTTCGAAAAAATATGTTGACATAAAAATTGAAGAGGAATAAATTTGCTACAAGAAATGTTCCTAGTGTATTTTTGCTAGTGAGCCGTTTAGGCTCAAGGGCTGATTGAGTGACATAATTTTCTGTTTGACATCAATTATTAACATGGATTAATCAATGAATTAATCGATTAATTGAATAACAGATGTTTCGTGATGAATATTTATGAAGTCCTGAAATATAAGATCTGGGAATCCCTAATCCCTGATACACCAGTGGCATGTTGAAAATACATATCAGAAAAAAACAAAATTTTACTTACATGCTGGAGTTGAATAATTTTCAAATGTTGGTGCCAATGCCCATAATCATAATATTTATCCTTGTTGAAATTTGTATATAATTGATAATAAACGGGTTTTCTCGGGGGTTTTCATGATCATGAAGAGCCCTGTGTATTACATCATTTAAAAAGTGTGGAGATCAAAAAATAATATATCTATAATTCTGAGAAAAAAAATCCGTGTATAATGTATTGAATTTGAATAATGAAAATGTTCACTGGAATGGCTGGATTTTTATAGAAAGTTAGGTTTTACAATATTCGAGGTATCCTACTTATAATTGTTCAACCAAGCAGTTCTTCATATCTCTAAAAAGTCTAAACTCTTTTCACTTCCTGCGTTACCAACAATCGCTTTAATGACACCAGTTTAACATTTCAAATTGGAACAACAATTATTTAATTTTCTCATTTCCGCTTGGTTTTACTTGTTTTACCAATATTCAAGAACTCGTTTAATTGTATATATCTAGTAGGCGTTCGAATTATACGATGACAAAGTAGAGCATTTTATTGTTTTAGTAGACTAAACAAGAGTTCATTGGTTTAAGAAATTTTCATAGGGTTTTAAAGGGCACTAAAAAGTACATAACTTTTTTCATTTTTCAACATCACGTATTTGCTCGTTCGGGTCAAAAATGTTTATTTATTTTATAAATTTGTACATTTAATTATCACTTTGATGGTGTGACAATCCTCGTAAAGAATCTATTGAATATATTTAAATTCATGTTCAATGACTTTATCTTTGTTTGTTGTCATAATAATTAATAGATAGCAAATACAAATATTGAATAATAATGATTTTTGATTAAACTCTTTACTGGTTCTTCGAAGAATATGAATCACTAATTTCGTGATATCGGATTATCTATTTTATGCTTTACGAATTCCAAGAAAGGATAATGAAATGAACCTTTGACGTCAAAATAGTATGTATACCAGAAAAGTAACCTATTTCCAACAAAATAGGAACAAACAAAAATGAAGAAATAATCATATTCCTAATTTTCAATTTGAAAATACTCACAAATATCACAAAATACAGTTACTTACATACAGTTATTTCTGAGTATAAAAAAACAGGAACGAATAGTAGAAATGAACAACAAAAATGCAAAACAAATAAATAATTAAACGTAAAGAACAAACTGTTATAACAGAAGGATAATTATGGTAAATTGAATTAGATTGAAATCAGATAAAGAATTGTGTTTTTTTGGTTAACCATCAGTACCTAAATGTAAATTTATTACTAATTGTGTAAATGAAATTTCAGTAGAACTGCAACCCTGTAATGGACGAAAAGTTTGTGTCAGCCAACGAGTAGTACTTGCATTCGGAAATAGTGGAATTTTCGTTCGGAAATTCGAACGTAAAATGTGATTTTTTTTGTAGTGGTCGACGAAAAAATTGTTTTTCGATGACACAAATCAATCATAGTTAGATACAATATTGAGACTAGTTCGCACTTGGAGGAATATTAATTAATTTTTTCTAGAGTCATGCAAGTTTTCATATTTTTCTACCCAACCTCGTGAATCGTTCAGAAAATATCTATCAGGTTGAAAAAAAAAGTATCATGAGTGGTCTGGTTCGTGAGTCGAGAACGGTAGTGATAATGTCAATAGGAATTGTGGTCTTTTGTTTTATTTTCCACCGGAAGTATTTCACCAATCCAGGCGTAATTTTTTGATTGGATAGTCACCTCATTCGTTCACAGTTTGAGAAAAAATATCGAAAACATGATTTACGGAATTAGTTTTCTCATCGATCTAGCGGTTCGTGACGGTTATTCCACTATTGAAAAAAAAATTGATATAAACACTACCAACCTTTCACATTATTTATATCGATAACCTTGTCGATAGACGGTGAACTGTGATATCGTAAGCGATGAAGAAAACACGAAACGTTCCCAGGTGATTTGATTGTGAGGTGTCGCGACTAACCCGTGCACATCCTCTGTCATTCCGAAAAAAATATTGATAGATAGATAGATAATATATTACCGTTTTTGCCATGATACAATGATCGGTTCGTCATACAAAAAATATTTGCATTAAAATGTGAATGATATACATGAAAAAATAACTATAACTAAAGATATGTTAAAAATTTGTTGAACAAATGAAATTAGGAACGAGTCACATTTACATAAATTGGTATACACAGTTATATAAAATACAGTAGTACACCTATACCAAGTTAGCACCAACATATAGATTCATGAATTTTATTATTGTTGATATAATATTTGAAGATACGAATAAAAGTCTGCTGTGGTATAGAAGCTATTTTGGATAAGAATATGTTTTAGTTTTTTTTGAACATATTGAAGCTGAGGTTTTTTAGTTCTTCTGGAAGTTGATTATAGAGGTGACTGCCTGCATAATTGAAACTATTTAGGTAGATGTTAGATTGATTTATTGAAGAATACTTGTGAACTTGAGAGCATTTTTTTAGTCCAAATATGGTTTTTATGGATATAGCAGAGAATTTTGAGTACATAGATGCTGCACACTGTTAGAATATGTTCCTTTGTGAAAGTATTTTTGCATGATTCTTGATGTTTCAAATAGAAGATTCAAATTGAATATACCGTGAAAGCGTGAAAATATTGAAAATGAGCCAAAGAGAACCTCTCGAGGGTATAATTGCACAAGGCGGGGTAAAAGGGG